GGTTATTGTGTACAGTTTTATCTGCAGGTTTGTCCACAGGCTTCTTCTCCTGCTTCTCCTCCCCCTCCTCTGCTCTGACCTGTCCCTCCGTTTGCACCTGAGACTTGTCTGCTTTCTCAAGCTCTGCATTCAGGTGGGTGGCCAGCTGCCTGGATCTGATGGTGTCAGCTTCACACCTTTGACGGATGTCATTGTATAAAACTCTTATTTTCTCCAGTTCATGTTGGAGAGCCTCATTTGTGCTCTTCCCTGCCAGCAGCTCCACAGCCAACCTCTGCTGGTTGATTATGTGATCTTTATTCTCTCTCTCTCCTTCTTCAGTGAGAGCTGAGCATTTAGTTGAGTCAGCTCCTCCACTTCTCTCTGCAGAAGAATTTTGTCCTCAACAGCATTTTCTGGAGACATGTCATCTTCTCCATCATCTGTAGATGGTGGGCATTCTGCTCAGCCTGGAAGGTTTGAATTTGAGACTTGTTTGCTTTCTCAGGCTCAGTGTATGAAGCTTTTACTTTCCCCACTTCATCTTGGAGAGCCTCATTTGTGCTCCTCGCAGCCTGTAGCTCCAAGGCAAACCTGTGCTGGTTGATTCTAAGCTCCTCCTGCAGCTCCTTGTAATATCTGTTGAGGTCTGTCTCCTGGTTCTGCTTGGTGATCTCTGTGGTGATGAGGGTTTTGCTATGCTCAGGACAATTCTTAGGCTGCCATGATTCTTCATCCCAAACAATCTCCTCCTCACAATCCTCAGGCTGCTGGGTTTCTATATTGCAGTCACCCTCCTCTAGGCAATTCTCCTCTTGCCATGTGTCTTTGACCCCTTCGCTGTAGCTTTCTCCTGGGGGCTGCAGTTTGGCCAACTTTTCGTGGGCCTCATCCAGTGTGTGTGTGTGTGTGTGTGTGTGTGTGTGTGTGTGTGTGTGTGTATCCAGGTATAGCTGATGTAGTGGGGACTTGAATCTATCCTCTTTTATGGTTAAGTCAAGGTAAAGTTTAGGTTTAGTTTCACTTTAAGTTCAGGCTAGGTTTAGGTTAAGGCTAAAGTCTCCAGGATATCAATATAAGTCAATGTTATGGAGACATAACTGTGTGTGCGTGTGCATGTGCGTGTGTCTGTGTGTCTGTCTGTGTGTGTGTGTGCGTGCGTGTGTGCGTGTGTGTGTGTGTGTGCGTGTGTGTGTATGTGTGTGTGTCTGTGTCTGTGTCTGTGTGTGTGCCTGAGCATTAGCACTGCATCCGTCAGTGTCCAGCCTGCTGGCTCCTACACCTGTCGGCTCATTAAGGAGCACAGGAAAGGATCGAGGTGGCACACGGCGAATAAATCTAACACACGTGCTATACACAGACACACCCACACACATCCTTGTTATACGTGTTTGACTTACAATCACTCTCTTACTTCCTTTTACTTACCCTGTCAGCACTAATTGCCTGACTGCAGCCATTACCTTAACTTTCACATTTAACTGTGACACTTAAAACACCCCTTCTCCTAATGAGTTTCAGAAGGGGCTGCTCACAAATTACTCTCTTACCAAGACCTTATAGGACAGTGGACATACTGTAGAGAGCTTACACACACACACACACACACACACA